TAACAGGAGCACCATGGCTGCAGGAATACAGCCCTAAATTAAACTATAAAACCCAATAATCTATATTTCTTCTGGGGATGAAAGATACTATTAACTCTCAACTCCAGGCTTATCCATTATATTTGCTGAGGCTCTTTACCAATTTAAAAAAAAAAATTCTTTCACTACTATCTTGAAAGTAATAAATCAAATGCAATTTATTCATTAAAAGCTAAAGTACTGCTAAATAGTTATTTTCTATTTTATTTCCTTACTTCTTTCATGGATCTGCTGCCACCATTCAAATGAAAACAATTTTTACATTCACTTAATTTTTGTTTAAATTTTTCCAATGCCTCCAGCAAGCACAACTTAATTTTAGTGACCTTCTGGCAGAAGACATGAGTAAAGCCTTTGCTAGACAGTAAGCAAGAAATTTACATTTACGTGTTACTAGTAACTTACATTCTTGCCCCATCCTAAAATTTTTTAACCACAATTTTCACTGAGAGTCATCAACAGAAGTAAGTTTGATGTTATTTAGCATCAATATTGACTAATGCTTGGCAGTTGAGGATGATCATCTCCAGATCTCTCAATCTCCACGTACTCAGCATATTTTGAAGCTCTTAACACAGGAGAATTAAGTGTTTAGTCTCAATAAAATCTCTCCAAACGTCCCCCCTTCCAGAATTACCATGATCTCAGTGCCAGGTAAGCAGGGAAGAGTAAAAAAATCTCATGACATATTGGCAGCTTATTTCAAGCAATGCACTGAACAGGACTCACTTGGGTATAAGGTTTTTCTCTTGTTCTCCCAGACAAAATGGTCTCTCAAAATAAAAAAGTAAAACTTAAACTGTTCTATGTTAAGATATTTTCAAAAATTCAGCCAGGATGGTCCAATTCCTTCAGAAGGAAACTAAAAAGCTTCACACTCAAATGGTTAATTCCAGTGTGCAGTAGCCACAACCCCATCACATAACAGGCTCAGCTAAGGGCTAAACCATGGGCAAGGTGTCCAACCTTTATCCAAGCAGATACAGCAAACACAGATCCAAACTATATTTGTGGCATGTGTTTTAAAGGTATAAAATCAGGGTAAATACTTTCAGCGTTATAAAATTTCCACCATGACAGATATTTCAAAGCACTGAAGTTATCTGACATTGAAATATCACCGACGTTAAGTAAAATCTGTGAGAAAAATACACGAAGAGCATTTAAGCTTCAAATAAAAATGCGTATGTAACAGTAACAGAATGCACTGGAACGCACTGAAACTGGAAGGTATGGTTGTACCATCTGAGCACAATCAGACAGATTTTCTGTGCTCTTCTGTCTTACAAGGAGTGTCTCTATTACGATGAGCTGAACTGACCCCCGAAAGGACAAAGCAGGAAGAGGCTGCAGCCCAGGCAGCTCCTGGAGATCCTTAGGCATGAAGGAGTCCTGTAGCGATAAACTTCCAAGCAGGACCTGAAGGCAGCCAGCAAGCATCCACACAACACTGCACCTCCATATCTGTTCTCAGTGCTTTCCAAATCCTACGGTGGCTCTCATCCCATTCCTTCCCTTTGTATGTGTTCCTAATTTCCAACTTTGCCCCTCACAGTGATGCTTGGTCCAGCTTTCAATCATATTTCTGCCTAGCTAGCTACAAGAGTATCTCCCACCTGCTTTTGACAACTACCAAACCAAGTCTCCAGATCTAGTCTGGACTTTCAATACAAGACTAGGCTCATCCCTCTAGTCAACGCACAAAGTGCTTATCTGAGTTTGTAAAACAATGGCTTAGTATTATGACTTACGAAGTATGGTGTGATCTTCCAACTTGCTACACCATGCACGGTGAAATCCAAGCAAAGATGAAGAGATTTACATCTCTTGTAAGTTCAATGGAGAGAAGTGTTCAATATCAAATGAAGCAGAAATTCACCCTCTCTCCTTTTGCTTAAAATTCAAAAGCATCTGACTTGCATTTTTACCCATGCAGTAACTAAGATGCCATTTTAATACTAAACTAAATTGGAATAAGGGAGAAAATCAGTAGGGAACAAGGTCTGTCAAGTCATTTGCACTCACTGTTTTCACGTTCAAGAAGTACAAAACAAGGGGCTACAACTAAAGGAAAAGCATGCTTTCACCAGTTCAGCACAGTTTAGCAAAAATACTCCTTACTATTTGCTTTTACCTTGAATAACTGTGTCAGAGTCTTGAAAAAGCTGCTAAGAGCAGATGTGAAATTTCAGACAGGTACTGTGAAAACTTCTTAAATTTTCTTGTAACTTCCTTTCCAGTACAGTAAAAAACAGTAAAAACCCCAATCTTTTGAACAGCTTTACTAACTCTGTCTAGAAAGAGAGTCCAGGTGATCTCACTGCTCCTTGGGAATGGCTCAGTGAGCCAAGACTGACCGACTCCCAGAGCCCAAAAACTGCCCAAAAGTGAGCAAGTAAATAATGCAAAACTGTAGGCAACACATATGGGTTTTTTGGATGCATGTTACCTCTCCAATCATTCATCAAGTCCTTACTTAAAACAAACCTTACCAGACAAAAAAAAATAAAAACACCACTCCAGGGTATGCTTTTTCCTAGCAAAGTTTCTGATACAATGCAATGATAAAACAATGACCTAATTTTTGAGTAATGTAAAATCCCCCAAAATTAGTAATAACTGATTCTTGTCAAGTCTTCTCTTAAAAAATTAATGCATTATTAACGACACAGCTGAAGTTTCTATTTTCAGAGAATTATTTTCAAGCAAGCAGCATCCCTTTAATTAGTGTATGGTCCAGACATTACAACATATTCTGTCATCAAAACCAAAACCATTTCATTTTTAAAACTCAATTTAAAAGGTTTGATTTTTTCTTTCTATTAAACACTTTCTGAACCATTTTAGGAAAAATCTTCTGCCCTTGGTGAAAGCAAAGCATTATATAAATCAGTTATATTTATAACCAACGCTTCAATGAAAAATGACAAACAGAAGATGAGTGTAAGCATGGGAGCTTACTCACACAATTGTTGGTAGAAAGGTATTATAGATACTGCATGCATACAATTTGTAGAAACCACTTGAAAAAAAACTGAAAAGATAACTAGGATAAATACAACATATTACACAACAGCCTGGCAAATATCAAACCCTTAAGAGCAAACTTTCAATTTTACTTTTACGTGCCTTTCAGCAAACAATTTAATACTCTCAAATATCCCAGTAACACCCGTAACACTTCAGCAGGTCCATTTTAGAGATTCACATCACAGATAAGTTTCAATGGCACAAACCAAGTCCAATTTTACTACACACTTTTTTTCCAACAACCAACCAACAACAAAAAAAAAATCCCCCAAAACATAACTATGGCTCAAGATCATGGAGTAACTCGTAATTTTCCCAAGTCAAACAGGGAAACATGCTTCTAAACCTATTCACCACAGGCTCTTCTCATAAGACACATCTCTGAAAATATCTTCCCTCTGTAAACTCTCAAAACCTTCAGCTGTAAGACAGTTTGGATCTACAAGAATTTTAGCTTTTCAAATCTACTGTGGTATCATTTACCAGGGCAGGTTATAAGGTGCACATAACACCAAGATATGGTTAAGATTGGAGAGTTTACCGGGTGCCTGGAGAGAAACTAAAAAGCATTTTGGAGTTTGAAGCATTTTTATCTAGGTGTGTCTCAGGTATTATAAGAGATGAATATTACAATATTCATCTATCCTCAAACTTAAAATCTTAATAGGTTCACTATGCACCATGAACACTAGAACGCAGGCTATATAGTGCTCCAGGAGATTTGCACTTCATTATTCAAGAAAGCTTTTCACTTTTTTTTTTGTTTAATTTCAGGTAGCAGATGTATTTTCAGAGCAGCGAGTTTTTAGACCAATGGTGTTTCCCTTTGCTTACTGCAGTAATTAGATTGCACTAACATTAAATTGTTTCCCTCAACAGGCTTGGCCCTAAGAAGGTCTCACTGGATTTTCAGATTCTCTTTGACAACAAGTATTAGCTGCCATCTAGCACATTAGCCACTGGTCAGCATTCACCAGGAGAAAGAGCCAATAAAAACTAAAAACTCTTCTCTTTCATCAGTACTTACCCCCTAAAAAATAAGGTTTAGCATTTTTCCCCTGTTTAACAGTTTTGATTCTTTTTAAGGTAAACAGCTCTTTTTGGTACAAATGGTTTACTCAAGAAGCCAGCTTTGTACTAAAAACAATTTTTTATAACGTCTTTGAGAAAACATTCCTATGTTATTCAGCACTTTAGATTGGAGCTGTGAAGACAAACCTAAAGACAAGCCTCAGTTCATTTTCTTCAGAAATACTGACTCCTAGATGAGACCGTGCTCACCATTCAATGTGCACTGCTGACTGCTACTAGTATCCGACATCTAGACCAGCTGTGAGAAAAGCAGGGACACAGTAGGAGGGATGGGAAAGAGTAGGGAACAAGAGAGGAAAACAGTAAGAGTAAAGACAGTGAGGGCAGAGATACCCAACTATTTTGGAGCATTATCACCAAAAATAAGTGGCCCTCCACGAACACTGACCAGGCATCTGTGTTTGCCAGTTATGTTTTAGGGATACAGAGCAGCACACTTTAGACTTAATCCTCAGACCAACAAAACAGAAAAATAATTTCTCCATGAGCAGCATTCACTGCAGATTGCACAGAGAAGGGCTGACATGGAACTGCAGTGTGTGTCTATTACTTAAAAACTTTTATTCTAAGACTTTTATTCAAGTTGGCGGCTTTAGAGTATTACTGGCAAAAGATACAGTTGTCAAATAATTGGTCCCACCTACTAAAAAAAAGTGTGGTTAAAATACAAATACATTAGGTTCATTTGTTCATAAAAATCAAAACATACTGAATCACTAAAACAAAATTTCAGGTTTGCTGCCCTCTAGAAAAATATAATACAAAACATGTACTTAAATAAGCAGGCCGCAACAATGTTCAATAGCAAACTTTTTTATGGATGTTCTGCACATACTCACAGGTTGAGCAGACTAATAGTGCTCTCGCCACAAGCTCACTGAGCAACTTCCACTTCTGCTCCACTCTGGAGGTGACAGCCGGAATGAGAATCTCCGCAGGGACGTAGTACTGAATTGAATAGGTCACAAAAATCCCAAAGGAGTACAGAATTTTTACAGACTGATACAACCTGTTGAAAACATTTGCACATATGCACATGAGTTGCAAACCCTTCATAAAAAAATTAGGTAGCTAATGATACTTAGTTTATATATATTTTTTTTTATTATTTTAAATTTTTTTTTATTATTTTCCCCTCCCAGCCAACAAGAAAATAACATTATCTGCTTGCAAGTTATAACTGCCTATGAAATTGCAGCAAATAAGCCAACTACCAAAATATGGACAAAAAATATCATGCAATCCTAAATGAATAAACTTAAAGAACAACAGGTTAAACAGCCGACGGTTATTTGGGAAAAGAATATTCACATCAAATATAATCTGTACACTGATAAACATTTCACAGTAAACACTGTACATTTTAAAGATCAATGCCAGTTTCCTCTAGACTTCTGCATATTCACAAAATGTTCCTAAGAAGATTTTAAATTGGCAGAAGTATCTTGTAAGTCTCAAAAATATCCATAACAAAATTTGCTTGCTGTCCACACTCTCTTCAAAACAACTAAGTACAGAACGTCATTATACAGTGCCGTGTCATAGGACTTCATAGGGTTTATAGTGGTGGATTGGCACAATATGTTACTAAGAAAAAGAAATTGGAAAAAGAATGTATGCACGTGTAGAAAACAGTTCATTCTGATGCAGAAATGTCTTTCCTAACATACAGAACTAGAGCTGCTGTAACTAGACAAACATTTTAGGGATAGAGGATTTTTTTTTTTTTAAGAGACTGTATTTTGTTGAAAAGTTTCCTTATGATGGTTTTAAATTTCATGCCAGACAATGACAAGCTGCTGTCCTACACAACTCCAGGAATTCAGTTATATAAAAAAGCAAAATGATCTCTACACAGACTGGTAAAAGGCACAATCTACATTTCAAGAAGATGGGAGAATTTCTATTCACATTAATCTCTTTCCATTCTAGTGTCATTCCATCCTGCATGTCATCAAAGTATAGATAACAATGTTCAGAAAATGCAACATACTGGACATTTTTTTTATAACAGTATAGAACTCAGCTACATTTAACTTCTTTCTGCCTAAATTGGTTCAAAATACTCTACTATTCCAAAAACATTAACTGACTTCAGATCATCCAGCTTTAATCTTTATCTTTGGTTTTGTTTTGTTTTTTTTTTCAGATCTGTACAGAACTAGAAATCCTATCCTATAAATAAAGGAAAATACTACTAGCATTTGTTAGAAAAAAAGTGTCATGTCAAAGGGGAAAACAAAAAAAAAAAAAATCAAGGAAAAAAAGTTCACATCTATCCTTATATAAACTACACCTCAGTAAGCAATATAATAAAAGCAGCTGTGAGGCTCAGGTATAAAATAAGGAAAATATTTTTTAAAAAATGCTTGAATGGGTTGGCAATCTAATTTCAATATAGTTTTGCAAGAATTCATGCATCTTGCTTCTGTACTTATGTTGAAAAATAACCCATAGATTGGCACTGTCTTGCCAAATTTTAGATAGAAAATTCCTTTTTTTCCCCAAGATAGTTAAGGTATTTTTAGATATGCTCATACCCTTATCTTACTTATCTTAACACAATGAAATCCATTGCTATATGGTTTTAGCATTATTTTTTTTTCCTTCGTGATCTGTCGAAGGTTTTCCTACCTCTCCAGCTTTTTGTAAACAAAATGTCTACAGATCTACTCCAAGAGAAGGTCTCTGAGAAATTTAAGAATTTTTGTTAAGTTCTCAAAAAAATAGAGTAAACCTTCCAAAAAACTGTGAAGTGACGACAGTCTTACCACTGTTACTTGTGGCTGAATAAATAAACGACAAAGAATTATCCATGCCAACAACAGTTTTAAGTTTAGATGTATTTTATTCTATGCTCCATAAACTACAAGCATTTGTCATAGGTCTGATTACAGCCAACTGACAGAAGTTATGAGTCTCTTAGCATGATTTTCTTTCTCAGAATGCAACTAAGAACATGATAAAAGCTTTTGGGTAAAGTTTTGGTTCATTTGGTTCATAAAGTTTCTGGTTCTGAAACCAGAAAACAAAGGCAACTTGCAACAGTAAGAAAAAAGAAAAATAAAAAAAAAAAAAACAAACAAAACAGCAGCCATAGTAAGGAAAGAACAAATTAGACACTTCTCTCTCTATCTCCAAGTCTGGCAGGGGTCACTCAAAGTGTACTTACACCCTCTGAGTATCATAGCCTGTATCTATTATTAGTAAATAAAATCAAGCTTCCACTAGAACCAGTATCTTGTAACATCTTGTTGAACTTCAATATTATACCACATATTATTCAATATATTACACATATTATTGAACCACATATTATCTCCTTCAGTACACCTGGAACTAGCTCCTGCTAGAGATGGAATACTTTACTATAAAGATCACTGATCTGTTTCCATATGGAATTCCTTTTAATATGCAAGAAATTGCTGGCTGGGCCCACAGCTCAACTATAGAAGGCACAGAGATGGTATATACAGTATACTTTCAGAAGAGTTTGAGCACCTATCAGTTATAAGCATGACAACATTGAGGCATAGAACAACCTCTGCAACATTTTTGCCTTCTAGATTACTGGTTTTAAGTCACACTTACCATATATGTTGTGGCAGGTTTAAAGTTATGCTGCCTTTGATTTCATCCCCAAAGCGCAGATACCCCAGAGTGGCCAGTGAGATATACAGTGTCATGACTATTCCCATGCCAATGTTCAGTGCCTGTGGGAAACGCGTGGTGTCCTTCATTCTGTTTTCCAACGGAAGTACCTGTAAATAGAGGGAGAATAAATTACATTTTATGTCCTCACAGTAAAACTACTTTTCTCACCCCTTTCAAAGCAAATTTCCAAAATTTAGGTGCTTTTATTAATAAATAAGATTACAATAATGTTTTACAGCCTGGAAGATCATGTTTTATGCACACAATAGAAATGTTCAGTTACTGAAAAGCACCTATCTTGGTTGAAAAACAGCATCAGTATGTAGAAATACAAAGCGATATTTATAGGCTAGAAAAACTGACAAGAGAAACTTATGGCGCCCAGATGAAAATACACAGGCAATGAGTAACATTATTTTTTTTTGTAACAGAATTGTTCAGATTCCAAGGGTAAGTCTCCTATTTTTATTAGGTATGTCTGCATTGTCAGCCTCCATCACAGACAAACCTACCACACACATGCTTGACACACAGGCTCATGCTCAGCAGCCAGCCTTAGCTCTCCCGAAGCAGAGGGAAGCTTGAGTCCATGACTACCAGAATATGTACCCACACTCTTTTTCATTTTGCTGACAGAGATAGGGTCAGCACATTAAGAACTGTTTTTCATAGACATAGTGTAGACGCTTTGAGCTGAATAGGGTCCCAAGGAAACTAACTCAACTGAAGGTAGATCTTTTTTTGAGCAGTAGTTTGGACTTGACCACCTCCAGAGGTCTTTCCCAACTTAATTTTTCTGTGGTTCTATGGATGAACATTGTTACCTCCAGCACAATGCTATGATTTCTCATAGGCCATATGTGAAAAAATTGGAAGAGTGATTATTAGGAGAAATTAAATCTGGACATCAATATCTGAATTGAAGTAATGTGAAATCAACAGAATAAAGAACAAGTACCACCTACAGTTCCTCACAGGCAACCTACAACTACTGTTCTATTCTATTCCTAACAGTTGTTTATATTTAGTTTTTAATCTTTTTACATTTTAACAAACTTTCTTTTACATGCAGACAAGATTATCATACAAATGTCAATCTGAAACTTGGTTCATAAAGGAAAACAGAGGACCTGTGACACATACTGTGTTCAGTGTGCTTGAGTCCAGAAGCAGCATTCAAACATAGTAATTTTAAAATTTCTACCTTTACTGCAATTTTTCATCTTTTGCATTTAAACCCAGTCAGTCTGAAAACCTATGTTTCTCCAAAAAAAGACTTAATTAAAACAAAAAATATTTTAAAACATTATAGGACATTTCTCTTAAGTATACTTACTCTTCCTTTTTAACTATTAAATCCAGTTTACTCATTATACTCAGTGATGTCACTTGCACACTAATTAATAGGTTAAAATAAAACATACTGCATCCAAACACATGTTCCTGCATCATCAACCTCAATTTAACATTACAGCCTTCATTTATTCTGAATTTAAGGAAAAGATATGCATAAAGAAATATAGGATAATAACATCATTAGCCAAAGACACAATAACATACTTAGATCTTGAAATTATATTTTTAAATGTTAATTTCTCCCTGTTTATCTTTGAGTTAGTATCATGACAAGATCTGCCTCCAGACTGAACAGATGAGGATGCTAATGCAGCCTTTGTGCATCACTCAGTTGAGGCAAGAGTGTCCCTTCCCAGCCTCAGCAGCAAGCCTTCCCAGGTTCAGGTTTTCTCTCTAAGCAGCAGTAGGCGTTTCGAGCCAGTTGCTGTCACTGCAGGAGCTGCTTCCCTTGGCAGAACAGATCCCCAAAGAAATTATGCAAAGAACGTGAGCCACGTTTTATACAGTTGTTGTGGTTTAGGCCCAGAGGGCAACTGAGCACCACGCAGCCACTCCCTCCCTCCCTGCCCCACGGCAAAGATTGGGGGGGAGAATATAGGAACAGGAATCGGCTCAAGAAATCCGTCTAAGAACTGGGAGGAGGGAGGACTCACTCACCCATTATGGTTACAGGCAGAAGACAAACTCATTAGGGGAAGAAAAGAAACATCACTTCAATTTAAATGCTAACAAGACAACACTCAACAAACACAGTGAGGACAGTAAGAAGCCCACCACATCCAAAAAACCCCTCCCCCCACCCCTCCCTTCTTCCCAGGCTCAGCTCTGCTCCCAATATCTCTACCTCCTCCCCCAGCGGTGCAGGGGCAGGGGATGGGGGTTACAGTCAGCTCACCGCCCCTTCCTTCTCAGAAGGTGGGGTGAACATCACACATTTCCCCCCTGCTCCACGGGGCTCCCCTCTCACTGCAGACAGTTCTCCACAAACCTTCTCTGGTGTGAGTCCTCCCCACGGGTCACAGCCGTCCCCGTGCTGATCCGGTGTGGGTCACCCCTGCGTGTTGTAGTCCTCCCAGCACAGAACCACAATAACGGGGGCTGCTTCTCCCCACAGTCCCGTCCTGTTCCAGTGTGGGCTCCTCCACAGTTGCATGTTGGCCTCTACTCCACTGCAGACCTCCATGTGTGGGCAGGGCGAGCGGCCCTGCCACCTCACCACGGGATACAGCGGTCTCTGCCCCAGCACGCCTCCCCCACATCCTTCTCATTCCTTCCACTGACCTGGGTGTTCATCCTTCTCACAACTCCTCCTCACATGTCCCAACCAACTCTCAGATTACCCTTCTTAAATACGTTATTGCAGAGGTGCAGGTGATTGGCTCGGCCCTTGCCAGAAGTGGGTCCGACTTGGAGCCAGGGGAGCTTTCGAGAAGCTTCTCACCGGGGCCACTGCTGTAACCACCCCCCATTACTCAAAAACGAACCCGCACCACAAAAACCCAAAGAAATTATGCAAAGAACTTGAGCCAGGTTTTTTACAGTATCCAGTATCACCTATTCCAGACAAGCTGAAATGTTCTATACCTCAGAGGATTAACATGAAGCCAAGTAATAACCAATTACACCTACATTACACAAATTCCTTGCTCCCTAAGCTCTTAAATTCCACCAGGATTCAAAAGATTCATATAGTGTTCATAAGGAGACAGAGGCTGACGGAAGGTATGATGTGAGCCAGTGCTTGGTTCTGACACTATGTCACTGTTGGGCAGTACTGGATAGATTTTTCACTCTAAATTTCTTTCCAGTCCCTGTATGGTCCCTGTTGCAACAACTTCAGAAAAAACTAACATTTTATCTGAGTGCAGAAGAGATAAGGTTCTTTTCACAAATGCTTTTTAATTTTGGTTTTATTGCTTCCTTTTTGGAACACTGAAGCTGAACATGCTTTCTTGTCCTTTTTTCAGGAGCCAGAAATTAATTTCACTCTTCAATAATTTTAAATTAATTTCTAAAAAAGCTAACACCCTACCTAGATGACTGAAGAGCATTGAAAGAAAAAATAACACGTCTGTGATTCTCTATCCAATGCTTGCATCATAATGTCTTCTCTCAAAAGAGATGTTGCATCAATTCAGTATCTCATACTAAGGCTTCGATGTTGCTCTATGGTTGTTCAAACAACCACTTCTGCTCTAATAGGCAGTATCATTAATCTAGTCCAATACTTCTCACACTCTTCAGACCCATAATCTATCACCACATATACAATCACTTCACAACCTAGTGACAAGAAATACAGTCAGGTAAAACTTTGGGGAATAGTCTTCTCTCCCAAGTAAGGTCACCTGGGGCAGAATACTCGAGGTGAGGGAACCATGAGTTAAGTTTCAGAGTTTTGAAGATTTGGAAAAAAAAAAAAAATAAAAAAAAATTTAATGGGTCTTTTCCCTGCTTCCGATTTCCGCGCTCTGCTTCCTGAGTGCTCCTTCTCCCCAGTTCACACTAGTTCCCTGTCACAGCCCCAAACACCTATGAAATCAGACATTTTAGACAAAGCTGATCCTTTACATAATTTCTCATTTTCCATAATTTTTCTCCCTCCTGAAGTGAATAAATTCTCCATCTTTTCCTCTGTCACCTGCTTCACAGAGATCTTCCTATATCTTTTGAAATATTGGCATGTGTCACTACTATTATCTTCCTTTAAACCTAATACCTGATTCCTTTAGTAACTACCAAGCTTTGGTTTCTTAATTTACAAAACAAGCATAACCCAACTTCCTTTCATCCACCAAACAAACTCAAAAGTACCTGTAATTTATCAAAGAAGCATAATTGAATCTTTGAAATAACCTGGCTAATCTACCATCAACCATTATGCAAAGTATTTTCCCTTTCATTTCAAGCTGCATGAAGTAGGTATAAACATCACCCAGCAATAACACTGTCTCCACATTCCTTGTCTTGAATATCCTGCTACACTCAGTCTTTCTACAACTAAACTTCAGCGGGCTGTCTAATTCTAATCAAAAATCTTAAAAATACGGCTTATATGACTGGCCAAAAAAAAAGAGAATACAGCCTGCAGATAATCAGATAAACTCTGATCTAATTGTTACAGTCGCTAAAAACTGATCTTGTAATGGATAACTTAATAGCAAACATGCTTAATGTTTAAATACATATGGTCATCTTTCCCTTTTCAGGAAATACCACTAAAATGGCAAGAATGAAGCAATCCTCCATCCCTTATACTTTTAAAATAAGTATTTCAGATAGAAGAGACTGCTATACAGATGTTTCAATTTAAGGTACAAACAAGAATTTTCAAAATTAAAACCAATGTATTTATGAACATTTACTCAGAAAAAAAGAATAATATATCTATAATCATGTTCTTCTGTAACAACATAAAGCTATGTTCATTTAAAGCAAAAAAGCTGAGGAAGCTGGTAACGAAGGTATTCAAGGCATGTAAACACAAATTCTACTACTTAACCCACAAAGACAGAAGATTATATACTCAGTGAATCAATGCAACCCAGGCCTGGCTCATTACTTCTTGTCTGCAGAATGTACCAATGAATTCACTGGTTCACTGGAAGGTGGATCTACAAACCTACAGCGTACTGAGGAACTGTCTGAAGAAAAAGTATGGTTTTGCCAAGCAAAATCATAACATATGTCTATTACATTGCTATGTTTTGCTTGCCTGTCCTTGTCCATCTCCTCTTTCACTGTAAGAAAG